ACAAGAGGCAGACGACTTAGAGTGGTACCGTCAGGAGGTGCGTGAGCTGAAGCAGCAGTGCCAGGAGAAGCAGGCCAGGGTGGAGAAAGAGTGGCGGCGCTTCCAGGCACTCAAGAAGCAGGTGGTGTTGCAGGCCATGGGCAGTTGCCGCATGCGCGGTGGGCGCCAGGCTGCTCTGAGAGAAGTGGAACAGATTCAGGCTCTGGAGGATAAAAAGGAGAAGGAGATGAGCGCCGTGCGACTCGAGAACGTGCAGCTGAAGCAGAGCCTGGTACACTTTGAAACCAGGATGAAGGCCCAGGAGGACTTGGCTGAGGGGCTGCTCCTCATCGACTTTGAACAGCTCAAAATTGAGAACCAGACCTTCAACGAGAAAGTAGAGGAACGAAACGAGGAACTTTTAAAACTGCGCACTAAGGTGACCAGCAACGTGCAGATTATAACACACGTGAAGGAAAAGCTGTCTTTCATAGATATGGAGAACTCATGCAAAAAGGCACAACTTTCGGAAGTGGATGCCCAGGTGGCCCTAGGAAGAGACCTATTGACGAAGACAAAACAAGCCCGAGACAGCCTGCGAACCGACAATGTCAAGCTGAGTCAGAAATGTGGGCTTCTGGGTAAGGAATCACTCCTCCGAGATTTGGAAGAAAAGGTGGAGAAGACAGAAATGCTCAATAGGCGCCTGGAATCCCTGAAGCGCCATCACGCCGGACTTGCCTTGTCCTGCAAAGGGGTGAAGCAAAAGATCAGGGAAGCCAAAACTTTCCTCCCCTCTTGACAGTCCTTGACAGGACAGTTGGCAAAACTTCTGCAACTCCAGAAACTGTCCCTTACTCTCTTCTGCCTCTGACTGTCATTCTGTGGAACTTGGGATGTAACTTATTTTTGGTTTTCCAGCTTTCAAATTCCGGCTGAACACATCCAGCTAGCAGTTGTTCTACATGAGGTTAAGTAAAATGTATCTAGAGAGTGGGGTGATTAAAATCGACTTGTGATGAAAAGCCTTTATAGCCAAGCAGCCCCATAGTCTAAAGGAATGTTAGAACTGTTTCTCGCCTGTGTCTAAGGATGGCTTAAAGGTTCAACGAGTGGGCAAGGTGCAGAAAATCCCCATGCACTGAGCTGATAACGCAGTTATCTTTGTACTAATTAAACTTAAGAGTATTGAATCACCGTCTCTATTAGCTCAAACTCCCGTCTCTCTGTGCAGGTGTGTGTGAGCATATGAAGGCCTGAAGAACATATGGGGCATCTCCTGTACTCCACCGTCAGTTTTTATCCAGACAGGGTCTCTTACTCAGCTCTCAACTGGGAGTTTGCAGTTTGGGCTAGGCTGTCTGTCTAGCGTGATCATCTTGGGATCTGCTGGTCTCTGTTCCCCAACACTGGGGTTATACAGGCATTCGAGGTCAAGTCTGGCTTTTTTATGTGGATGCTGGGGATTTGAATTCAGATCCTCGTGCTTTTAAAACAAGCACTCTCACTCTCTGAGCCATAACCTGCATCAGCAATCTGACTGCTGGCACTGCATAACCCTGCTTCCTTCAGATGACATGACATACTTTTGTTTTCTGAAATTTATTGAAGACAATGGTGGTTAAAAGTCCCTTTTCTGACTTTGATGGCATGAATATATTTTATATCACACCATGCAAATGCATTACTGAGAATAGTTGAAAAAGCTGTCTTCATCCATCCCCCTCACTTAGTTGCTAGTTTTGTTTTTTTCCTCTACCCTATCCTTCAAGGTCAAAGCAGTTGTCTTTGTGCCTCCAACTAAGAGCAGAGGGACTCACAGGGTTATGTAGCTGGGATGCTCCCAAGTGAAACTCAATGGTACCAGAGGCATTTTCATTGGGATGGTGTTCTACAGAGTTTTGATTCATTCAGCTGATTCCGACCCATCCGCTACTCAACTGAATGCTTCATCATGAACATTGAACATGGTGAGCAGTGGATCATGTAGGATTAGCACCAAGGTTAGCATGCCTTAAGTTGCAAATGTATCCTAAGTAACTATTATATATTAAGTCCCCAATGACCCCTTGACCACACCCCCTCATGCTGGAGGCACTGCAATTAATTACAAGACACTCTTCATTTGATTATCTCCCCATTAGTTTCGTTTTAATTAGATCTCGGATGAGTGCTTGATCATGATATCTCATCAAGTAGTTCAGGACCTGGAAAAAAAATGTAGGTACTGAAGACATTCTGCCTAATATTTTAAGTCTTATAAGAAGTGTCTCTTTCAATATCAAAAGAGGGTCTATAACTCAGCCACCTACTCAGAGACAGCCCAAGATATTGGAAAAGTAAACTTTATTTTGGTGACTTGCCACAGTTAAGATTCTTAAAATGATGTAAGTAGAAATAGGTTTTGTGTAAGTTCATCTGCAGCTATAAAACTTAGGGTTTTGTCAATGGTATGAGCTACTTGTCCATAAAGTATCAGAGTCAATGCCTTCCAGTCCAGCTCATGTATTTAACTTCAGAAGGTTCCAGAGTGCAAGTGAAAGGAAAGCATCTCAGAGTTGTGCAGTGACCAGTCTGTCTCCCTTTTAAAATATCCTTATTTTTACCTAATGATAAAATAAGTACATATTTTAATAAGCTGAACTCCCTAGAGGTTTTTGTTTGTTTTTAGTTTTGTTTTGTTGTTCAAGCAAGACAGGGTTTCCTTGTGTAGTGCTGACTTTTCTGGAACCAGCTCTGTAGACCAGGGAGACCTCAGAATCAGAGATCTGTCTCTGTCTCTGCCTTCCAGGTGCTGATGCTGTGATTAAAGGCATGCACCACCATCCCAATGCAAAAAAAATTACACATATACTCAGAAGACACAGAAATGCCCAAACTTAGATCTGACTGACCTAGGATGGACATCTGTCTAAACCTCATGAAATGGAGAAGCATTAAAAAGAGAAAGGACAAGCCTTCCTTTGAGTGGTAAAATTAAGAGAATTTTTCCTTTGTGCCTTTCTGAACCCATCTTACACATGTATCTATATATACAAATATATATAATATATACTGGCATGCATATATTTATAAAATATAAATTATTAAAATATTCAAGGGAATATTTTTAAATTCATGAGTTCACGAGAAGAAGATACTAAAGTCCTGGGGATGTAGCTAAGGGATAGAGTGTTAGTTTAGCATGAGAAGGGCCTCGAGTTGATTCCCCATGCTGAACTGGAAAAAAGTTTTGAGAATTTCAGCGAATTCTCCAAGATCAGAGAGCTTCTAAATGCCAATGCCTGACCACTGACCATGAGATTCAACTCCGGGGCCCTGCTCTTGCCCTCTAGCCAAACTACCTGCAGCCTGGGTTTATTTCTGGTTTGTAGTGTCTACTGGAACTCTTAAGACAGGGTCAAGAAGCTATATGAAGAAGGTGGTTCACTTGTGCCACATGAAACTCCCTGCAAAGTATAGGAATCCTGGGGAAGGGGGGAGGGACTTTGTAAGGAGACCAGGAAGCAGCCCACCATTCCAGTATGAGCTAGCTGTAGGGGGCAGTGCTGACAGAAGAGATATATATGTCATGGCTATGTCTCTTGGGTAGCAGGCTTGGACACCACCAAATATTTCACAGCATATTTAGTCCCACAGAAAGCATATCTACTCTTTTCCATCCAAATCCATTCAAGTGCTTCCAGGTCTTGAGGTACCATCTAAGAACAGGGTTTTAGGCTCTAAGGCTGCCCTCTGCTGGGCAGTCCTTTGCCTTTGTTCACCTGAAAGCTCTGCTCAAGGTTCAGCAATGTCATTTATACTCCTGTGCAGAAGTTCCTCCCCTCTTCAGACAGGCTCATGATGGGCAGGGTGCCCGAACTGCTGGCCCCACATGAGAGCAGTCAGCAATACACACTGGAAGTACTGGAAAGTATGAAAGATCTAGGCCTTACCCAGCCCTGTGCTTGGGTTCCAAAAGGCCCAAAGCAAGTATGACCTCTCCAGAAAGCATCCTGAAGTCAGCCCTTCTCTCAGGGATGGTATGGATGCGAGCTGTTACCAATCTGCTGTAGGAGCCTGAGCAAGCATTTTGTATCATATTCTTGGAATGAGAACAAGTCTCTTCCATGGGGCTACCGTGGAGACTAATAATTCAGGTATCAAACTTGGCCTAGAGCCTGGTGTGGACTGAGCAGCCAGCCAGCTCTCCGCAACCCCACAGTCCATCACCTGCAGAGCACAGTGGCTTGGAGAATGAAACCATTGGTTTAAAGGGGAAGGTGGGCCCTGTGTATGTCCCCGCTGGAGGCTGTAACACTTTAGGCAATCTCCCAGCGGTCTTGGAAGGTTTAGAGGTGATAGCAGTGGGGATTTGGAAGGAGAGTAACATATACAAGCATTTGTCCTATTTGGTTCCAAGTAGCCTGTGGATCCTACTACATACACAGCCATTTTCCTAAGTAGCTTACAGGAAGGAGCTCATCCCCTATACCCCTGAGTTTGGAAGTTAGAGCTTCTAAACTCCAAATAGCTCCAGAGTTGCAAAAAAAAAAAATCCAAAACCAAAAAACTTAAAAACCTCTACCCAGGAGGTGTGATATACACCTTTACTCCTAGCACTTGGGAGGCAGAAGCAGGCGATCTTGGAGTTTGAGGCCAGCCTTGGTCTACAGAGTGAGTTCAAGTCAGCCATCTCTACACAGAGAAACCCTGGTCTGGGGGTGGGGGAGGTGGATGGATTAAAGGTGTGAAGAACCTTGTCTCAGCAGCTACATATAGCATAAATAAATGTGGTTGCCTGCTCTCATGGCCACATAGGCTTATGGTGGGGAGGTCAAAGCTCAGGGTTCAGGAAGTGCAGTACAGCTGGGATTTCCAGCAACTCGGAGAGGATATGCTGAACTTTGGAATCACCCCTAAGGAGAGTAAATCCCCTGCCCTGCTTTGTGTCTCACAAGCCCTGAGTATATTCTAAAATACTTTCTGTTACACTTTGAAGAAAAAATGTCAACTAAACCAAAGTACACAGTGAACATAAGTACAATTTTACATGACTTTATTTTAATAAAACCACATATTTACAATTCAAAAAGTCCTAGTTTGATACACTTTACTAAACAAAATTAAAGGTTAACTGTACAAGCAATTAAAACATGATATGTAGCAAGTGTTATCAGGAGTTTCCTATTGGCAAACTGTTTAAAAAGTCACAAACTGAGCAGTTAGAAGTACCTTTGAAGTAAGCACTGCTCCCAAGGTGACAGGAAGCCTCTTCTGCAAGCTCCCTCCAGAGTGCCAACTGTCCAGCACCCTCAAGTTTGGGACTGAAAGTCAATGGCAATTGAGGTGGGAGGTGCAGACCTCTGCAGGGTCAGTTTCCAGTTTACCAAAACAGGAGTATGAGAGACGCCCTCAAAGTAGAGGAACGTGGAACTGTATAGCCTTGAAGGAGGGCATATCAGGCTCACACGAGTCTCAGTCAGTCTATAAAGACCTTGTTTGGACTAGAGATGCAGTCAGTGCTCAGCTGGCATGGAGTCTTGTTGGAGAACTTCATGCATGCCCACAGATTTATGTCAAACAAGAAAAGTTAAGAGCTGGGTTATGAACACACAGAATTCCACAATGGCATTCAGAACAAGGTGCCCAAGTCCCCTTGTCACAACACTTTCTGTATGACTTAAGGAATGTCTTTATGTACAGTAAGAAAATATATACATCTTGAGAGAACAGATGCCCATGTTGTGGGAGAAAACTCAGTACACATCTGCAAGGAAGGACAGCAGACAGGACTGGGTAGTGCGCTTCACATGGCCAGCTGGGCCTGGGCTACATTCAGTATCTGATGTCAGGAATGGCTGGGTCTGGAGGCCACTGGATGCCTGCTTCAGACATTCTCCTCCAAGAGGTCAGACATCAGCCTTTCACACTAAGGCAGAGAGCTCCATGGAGGGTGCTCTGTGGCCTCCCTGAAGAAGTCACAGACTACAAATGAGAAAAAAGTGGGAGCATGGGGTGAATAGCACAAATATGACAGCCTGTGGATACACTAGACGGTCACCAACAGGCACACTAGATGAAGGGAACCCATGCAACACAGTGCCACGAGGCTGACCCAAGCCTCCTTGCCACATGCTGTAGTCAGTCAAGGGCTCCCCCACAGCTATTGGAAACTACAGTGACAGAGAGGGTGAGTTCTGGGGGTGGAGGTATGGCTGTAGCGGGCTGTGGACTACAGACCACATAGGTATTTGCTGGAAAATACGTTGTCAACCCTGGCCTACCTGTACCCTCAGGAACCAGAATGCCAGTGGATTATCAGGAGTTAACCAGTTTCCACAGATACTGGACTGTCCTATGTAGAAATTGTTTATTTCTGTGAATTTAGATAATCAAATTTCTTATACAAAGTTCTCAAGTCAAGGAAAAGCTAGAGCAACAAGAAGCTCACCAATGAGCTGAGAGAGATCAGCCGCAATGGGAAGGGCTCAGGACACAGAGACTGGAAGACTACCTCACTCTTCGGTCCTCACAGCACTGTGTGAAGCTCATCTAAAGCCAGATGAGGACAGGGGAGAATCACTGGCACTTAGAAGGGATCCAGCTACACAGGTGACAAAGGCAAAAAGGGACATTCAGCTAAAGCACGGAAACCATCTCCTACACAATGGTATTTTCAGAGGCTGCCATGTCCAACATCCCCAGAAGCTAGCAGGTCAGAGAGGAACAAACTTTGCAGTCTCGTCCTACCTCTCTCGTTACAGGGCCTGTCTCTGTCCTTTGCAGCATGTGGCTTCACTGCTCCAACCACTATGGCTCCCAAGATGCAGTGAGTGCTACTTTGGAGAATAGGATCCTAATGTGACCTCTCAGCCTTCTTGCTGCTATGTGTCAAGGCAACACGGTCAATGTCAGCACAAAAGTCAGGTGCATTTTCAGGAGCCTATGAGCATTCACCAGCAACTGCCCTACCAGGGCCGTCTTCCTCACCCTGTCCTTGGTAGCAAGATTAAAACACACCCTTCATCTCTGCAAAGATTATCTCAGTAACTAAATAAGTAATTCCTTTCTTACAAGCCTATGAGCCAATAACAACTCTAAGGTTTCCTAATAACATTTCTCATGCATCTTGGCTAAGAAAGATTGTAATGTACCTTCCAGTAGTTGGCATAATAGCATCACAATTTAATTAACTGCTGCTGGAATAAAGGTTCAAGGAGACAGCCTGCCCTTTCTTGAACCCACGGAGAAAATGCAGTAGCTAGCCATGACCCATGCCAGTGCATAGGTCCACTGAGCTGCTTAAGGCTAAACCTGGATGTAATTCTGTTTTGTTGTAAGGCCAACTCCAGCATCAGAAATCCAACGTGGAAAGAGGCCCTGTTCTTGCCAGGCTTCAGTCTGAAAGCACACAGGTGCCCTGGCGAGCTCTGCTTCAGTGGTAAGAAGAAGTTACCCCTGAGCCTCAGTGTCTGAGGGATGGGCTTCCTTTTTCCAGTTCCCGGCTGTCTTTCTGCAATGCAGACAGCACCTGGAATCACAGAGAAGACAACTATGGTTAGACCTGAGAATCTCATAGAAACAGTAGAAAAGCAGCAGCCATCTCATACCCCACCCCAACTGCCACATGCCTGCCTGCTAGCCCCGAGCACAGCACTGAAGCCCAGGCTTCCCCCAGGGCTCTAACAAGACCTTCTCCATTTTACACATGCACCTAGTCCCTCACTGGGAAGTTGGCCAGAGGTATGACAGTCTTGAGGTGACTGTTCTCCACTCTGCTCCCCCAGCTCTTGGTTGACACCTTTCAAAAGCTTCCCACTGTACTGCTGCCTAAGAGCAGCAGTGACAGCCAGAGGCTCTGCTGCTGCACACCCACTGCGTGCCAGGCAGAGCCTCTATGAGGCAGGGCTGCCATCACCTTCAACTCAGCATCTCATCTACAGTCGGGAAGGTCAGTGCCCCTGTGAGGGCCCTGGTCTGCTGGCAAATACACTGAAAGGCTGTCCAGTTTCAAAATCCTGGGAATCTCAACAGCACAGGATTTACCTTGCAGCATAGTGATGGGGAGTGAAATAGAAACGTATTAAGTGAGGTTCAAGAAAACTGGACAAAAGGAGGAATAGCAGACAAAGGTACACTTTACCTTCAAAAGAACATGACTGGCAACCTAGCCGAATAGTGCCTTGTTGTGAAAAACCTGCACTCCCATCCACTCTAGCACAGAGATGAAAGGAATGTGCTGTCCCTGTGAGAACTTTGTGAGCTGCGTGAACTCGCCAGTGCCAGCCACACTGAGATTATCTGCCGTCGTCACTAACCCACTAATGAGACAGTGGTTCACGTCAAATAGCCCGTGACCTAGTTCTAACCTAATCCCTAAAACACAAGAAACAAAACCTGGCCTGACTCCTTCCTTCTGCATGCTGTCGGGTGAGGGCTGAGCCCTGCCATCTCTGGAAACACTGTGGAAGAGCAGCAGTTGTGGCTGTGTGAGCAGGGAGTCAGGGATGGGCAAGCCTGCTCTCAGAGAAGGCCTGCCTTTCCATCTGGATCCAAAAAACCAGTATAAGCAATAGGCTAAAAGATTCAAAAACCCTTCTCACAGGCCTCCCACACAGCTTTCAAAGTGCCTTTCTCTCTTCAGGCTCTGTCGCCACCATCTTAAATTCTCAGCTTAGCTTTAGAGCCAGGACCCCATGCTTCTATTCACACTGCTCTTCATTGATCGAAGAAAGGCTCTCCTCTGTCCCTGGATCGCTGACAACAGCACAGTCAGTCCTGCCCCCACATCAGCAGGGCTGCACACACCTTTTTAATTGCTTAGCTGAACTATAATTCATAGGCAATCCACTCACATAAAGCATGTAAGTCAGTGGTTTTCCAGACTTTCAAAGGTATGTGTGAACCTCACCAAAAGTCAACTTTAAAGTATTTTCATCTCCTCTAGAAATGCCTTGGGCTGTTGAGACAGCTCAGAGGGTAAAAACACTTGCCACCAAGCCTGAAGACCTGAGTTCAGCCCTGGGACTCATACGGTGGAAGGAGAGAACCAATTCCCACGAGTTATCTGCTGACCTGCACACTCTCGTGGGCAGGTATACTGCTCCTCCCTCATGTAGTCATATATACAGAAAATAATAAAGGGAAAAAGTTAAGGAGGGGCAAAGCGCTCTGGCAGAGTCCTACAGAAGTGACCTAGACGTACTGACACTTCAGAATGGAGGCAGTCTTCCCACACACTCCTGCAGCTGTCAGAAGCCCAGCCAGGCAGCAGGCTGCGCACGCACCTCCACCCTGAGCACTATTGAGCAGCACAGTGCTTCAGTCTCATGGCTGTGCTACAAACTCGCTTACCTGTGCCCATTTCTTGTTCCGGCTTTGCATCTGGACTGTGGAGATAGCTGCAAACACTTCATCTGCTGGCAGGTCCTCAGGCAGCCTGGTCAGAAACTGGGCACTATGGATGAAGTCCATCCTTGTCAGGATATCCTCAAAAAGCTTCAGGATGCCCAGAGCTGTACGGAAAAGAAATTCTTCTCCATCTCGACAGAATACATCCCAGATGCGGCAAGCCAAGTCCAAGGGCAGGGACTTACTGTACAAGGTGAAAATCCTGGGGAGAGATGGAACTTCAGGTTTAGGATCAAATAAGGCATTGCACAGCACCCCGAGTCCACATCATTTACACTCTGTGGAGGACACTGGCCTGCATTCACTCGGAATGCCAATTTACATTTTACACAAAACAGCACTTCTGCATCCATGTGTTATCAAACACCACACAGCTTCCGAACCACAGACACTGGATGACTCCTACTTGTGGCAGATGTCCATCAGTCACCAACTATGTGCTCGCTGAGACAGATGTTGCATACTGAGTCTAGGAAGACACGTGTCTTAACACATACTTAGTAGAGCTTGGGGTCAGCTAGGAAGGAGAACAGTGAGGAGAGTACTATTTTCCTAGTAGGGGTCAGCAAAGCAACAAGGTATCAATTTTTCTGTCATTGTTTGGTTTTTGAGACAGAATCAAGTTACACAGCAGACTAGGCTGGACTAGAATTCACAATTCTCCTGTTACAATGATGGGATTATAGGTGTATGCCACTATGACTGGCTTTCTCAATAAATCTCACCATAAATTACTAAAAACTGACCTTATACTTTAATAATGCAGACCATCAGATGAAAGGTATTCTCTTAAAACTATGAGAATGGGGAGCTGTTAAGATGACTCTGGTAAAGGGAGGACCTGCATTTGGTGCCCAGCACCAGGTGCAGTGACATGCACCTGTCATCTCAGATGGCAAAGACAGGCAGATCCCCAGGACTTCCTGGCCAGCGTGGGCCGTCTACTTGATGAGCTCCATGCCGAGGTAAAACCTTGTCTCTAAAAACAAGCTGAATGACTTCTGAGGAATGACCCCTGGAGCTGACCTCTGGCTCACACACAGTGTGCACACTCAAATACAAGTGATAATTATAATCCAAAGTGTCTAACAACCGTGCTGGAGAACAGCTGTGTCCTGCGGTCAAGCACTTCTAACCTGGACTGTGCCTGTGTCACCAGGTGGATCTTGAACACACACTTTGTTTGGTAGTACACATGTGTAACTCCATCCTTAGGAGAATGAGACAGAAGGATGGCAAGTCCAGGCCAGTCTGAGTTATAAAGCAGCACTCTGTTTAAAAACAACTGAAAATCAGAATGCAGAAACCTAACCCACACCTCCCACACACAGGTACCAGTCCACACATAGGAACCATGGCTCCTGTCTCCTTAAAGAGTGACGGGGCCAACAAGAGCAACAGAAAGGATTCCCCGCATAGTCCCAAATCCATGAAGCAAACTTGATTCTTCTCTTTTTCTCATGTAGCATAAAACCACTAAACTGTATTTGCATGTGGATCTTCATCAGCTCCTCTAGGTAGGTACAGACCAGCACTGAAGAGCAAGGCCATGCCTCCGAGAATGGATGTGTACCCATCCTTTCTGATTCTAAATAGATCAGGTCAGACAGCTTTTTTTTCCTCCCAGGATTTTTTTTAGTATTTTAAATTATGTGTATGTGTGGGTATGTGCACATAAGTATAGGTACCTGTGGAAGACAGAGGCAGTGGGGCCCCGCGGAGCTGGAGTTATAAAAGTGATTGTGAACCACCTGATATAGGTGCTGGGAACCAAACTTGGGTCCTCTGGAGGAATAGAACATGCTCTTAACCACTGAGCTATCTCTCCAGCCCCTTGGGTCTCTTTAAAAAGAAAAAAGTAGACCAGGATGGCCTCAAACTGAGGTCATCCTCCTGTGTCAGGTGTCACAGTCCTAGGCCATAAATACTTTCTTGAAGCCTGCTGTATGCAAGTTGCTACTCACTGGTAATGAAGATACAAAGCACTGAATAGGCAGACAACTCAGGAACAGAAGGGACAAACAAACATGGGGTTTAAGGATAGAAAGGGACTGTCAGGAGGCTATGCACTACGCATGCACAGAGGGTGGAATGCATGAGAATGCTCTACACCGGTTGATCAGGAAAGAACACACTGCTGAGGAGAGATACTTCTATCCAACCGGAAGAGGAAGCCGGTGGCCAGGAGAGGAGCTCCAGAGGTGTTCCCCACACCTGTGGCAGAGTTCACGACAACTGCATGTATGAGGCCAGCATGATGACAGATCATGCCAGTGGATGAGGAAACCAGGTGCTAGAGAAAAGACTGTCTAGGGAAGAACAAGGGCTCGGAACGGGCACAACAGGGTAGGCTGTTCTAGAGGTGTGGATTTTATCCTGAGTGAACTGGGAGAGTCTGAGGGAGCAGCATGCTGACGGCTCCTGGAGAGATGCAGGCTGGGCAAGTGATCCAGACAGCTGTTGTCTTGAATTTGGGCATGCAGCAGGGGAGCTGCTATAGTTCAGGTATGACTAGGCAGTTGTGGAGAAGCAAAGAAGAAACCCAAGACTTCAGTTCACCAGCTATGCCACCCAAAGAATGAAACGGTCATTTTACAGTCTGAGTTTGAGACATGTTATATGATGAAAGTTGGACATTCAAGTGATACATGAATTGACTAGCAGGTCAAAGGAAAATTCTGTGCCAAGTAACATAGCTGTGCAAACAGTCTGTAGAGAAAGTACCAAGCAAAGAAAAAGACACCAGGATCAGAAAGTCAAGGTTATCAAACTGTTCCCAGCCTATATCACACATGGAAAAGTCTCCCTGACTTGTTAGAACTTACCATTTATTCTATATGAGGCTGCAATAATTAAGGCTTAGAATATTATATCCCCTTTGTGTGTGTGTGTGTGCGTGTGTGTGCGTGTGTGTGTGTGTGTGTGTGCCTTTTAAAGAAAGTCTTTCTTGTTTCATACCTCCTCATCCAAGTCTCAGCCTTGGTGACTTCCTAGGGAGGCTGTTTCTGACACTAAGAGTCAGAAAAGGGTAGGTGAGTCTTCCTGTTTGCTTGTTTTATTTGGAGGCATTTTGCTTTGTCTTGTTTGTGCTTAAATATGGACATCTATTTCCACACAATTTGGTGTCTTTGTGGGATTAAGGTGAATGCCCAGCTTCTTCTAAGGCCTTCTATCTGTCTTGTAGAAGGCCTGCTCCTCCCTGTGTCTTCACGTGGTCATAACCAAGTGTTTCCTATCAATGTTCACATTGTACCTCATGTATCCCTTCCCTATCTGTCATTTAAAGCAGCCATAGTTCTCTCAGACAGTACAGTGCTGGCAAGGAGTGGATCTGTCATTATTAATATTGAGTTATTTCTCTGTGCCTTGCAAACCTTCATACCTTTAGGGCTTTGGAGATTTCAGCAGACATGTGAGTAAAATGCTCCTAAAAGTCCCTCTGCTTAGGTCAGGGTCAGGGGCCATCTATAGAACGGGCTCCCTCTCCTGTCCTCTGCTCTAGGCTGCAAGTGCCCCTAGGGCTCAGACCGTCAGTGCCGAGCAGTCCCTTCATACTCCCTCCTCCCAGCTCTGAGAGAGGGAGTCTCACCTCTACTCTGCAAACGATGACACTGAAAACAAAGGGCACAGTAGGAAACCTACTCACAGCTCAGGGTGGAGGAAACAGTCACCTAGCTGCCATGTCCGCAGAGAAACTATGGCTCAAGACTTAGGCCTACAGGCTCTGGCACCAACTTTTAGCTATGTCCAACTTCCTCAACCTGACTGATTTCTAGAAATGAGCCTTTCACCCACCACTGGTTCAGAAGCACCCTCAGCTGCTACTCTACCCAAGTTCCCCATATTTCTAAGAAAGTTAAGAACCAGTACTACAGTGCTAGCTGAGAACTCTTGGGCCTGAGGCAGCCAACTCCCAGTGTAGACTTGCATCCAGGCAAAGCCAAGGTGGACAGCTAGATTCAGTTCAAATTCAGGCACTGAGTCCAGAAACACTCCTGATCTTAAGAGTAGTCAGGAAAGCGCTTTCTGCTGTCGGTAGCCTTACCCTGAGTCAGCAGACTCCTCTCTGACCCATACCGAGGAGTGATGGTAAGGCCTGACCTCACACAGGCTGCGTGTCAGCACTGCTGCACTGCTGCTCTCTTCTACCCTACTCAACGTCCTAGCTAGCCAGCACATTTCCAGAGGGTGCTGGAGTGTTCTCCCTCTCCTCCCCAATCTCTTCCCCCTACTACAATGTGGTCCCTACTCCCAAGGTGTCCTTGGACAGATCCATAGCCCAGAAAATGAGACACATGAGTGAATTTGTACAAAATGCAATGGAAACCCAAACCACTGACTGTCACTTCCTTGAACCTGCCCTACAAGGAGAAAACTCTCAGATGACAGCTCTTCATTTCAAGGTGTCATCATATATGGAACACTTTGCTATGTCTTTTGTTTAGTTTAAGATTATTGTTACAAAACCAACTCAGATCCCCAAGTAACTCTGACATTGGACAGGAGAGAGAAATCTTTTGGGAAGTTAAACTGCTCCCCCACAGCATCTGAATTCCTGATAGTTAGGAGAATCAAATCTCCACAGGAAATGAGACAGTGACAGGCCCTTGCTCTGATCTTTACATCTATAGCAGAGAAGCAGACAGCCTATAGATAAACAAGGGCCCTTTCCACTCCCTGGAGGCTGCCATGTGAAAAATATCATTGCTTTGTCCCTGAAGCTTTCTCACCCAGTGTCACCCTCTAGTGTGTATGCTATTTAGTGTGACTCTAGAGCCTTGCTCCTGTTGTGTCCTGCCACCTCCTCAAGCTGCAGCCACACTCAAAATTACTGAGTCTGCCTTCATGTCACTGTTCTCTGCACAGTGCATAGAATGTATGAGAAGCATCTGGCTTCAGGGATAAGTAACCATTGTCAGCCACCTCCTCCTCTGCATGGCTGCTCTGCTGTCCTCCCTCCTCCAGCACCCATGCTTTCAAAGCGTTTTATCTTTTGCAGTTCCTCTCAGAGCCCCATGGTTCACTCTATATCCTCAAGTTTTAGGCAGGACAAGGACATTTCTATTTCCAAGGGTCCCTTCAGGTGCCAGTGGCCTAAAGCCATGTGTCCACTTGTCCCGCTGCACAGACTTCTCCCCTACTGTCCCTGCAGGACAGAGCTTTATGAAGGAAGCTCAACCACATCATGGCATAAAGGTCTCAGAAGCAAAACCCAGTAGAGGTTCTTTTCCTTGTGGACACCCTAGACCCAGAGCCTTGCTGGTTGGGACAGGAGCAAACAAAGCAGCCCTTCAGGACATAGCCACCATCATCAGTGAGAGTAGACCACGATCCACAGAACAGAACATTTCAGAACACTGTCCACATTGTCATGGCGGTTCTGCTTCATGGAGCCTGTCTCAGCACACACAAGTCAATGTTCTACTGTCACCCTCTAGAGTCTTGTTATGGAGCATTTTGTAAGCCACGGTTAAAAAGATATCTGAACGCCCAACCTAGAATCTAAGATTCCTGTGGATATTTAGGTAGATATTTAGGCTTACAGCTGTGTGGAGGGTCTGCCTCTCAATGACACTTGTTCTGTGCGCTAAGTCAGGAATATTCAAGGTCTCAGGACTGAGAGTCAAATATAGACAAATTAGGATGGCAAAGAGCCACCTGTGCACACAAAATGTTCGTAGGAAAGGGGGAAATCATCTGTTAAGCAAAGGTATCCCTTGAAGAGGGCATCCCTAACATTTCTATATAGGCCAGGCAGATAGGAAGCAGTATAGCTCAGATGGAAGCCAATCCAAGCCTGGTATTTACATTCTACAGCAGGATCAGCTCCAGTGGCTTCTGCTCAAGTGCAACCAGCAAACCATCAAATATTAAGTCAAACCCAGAACAGTCTCCAGGTTAAGGCAGAAGCCACACAGTGGATATCTGGCACTCATTCCCAAGGATGTAGGCAGGTCTGCTAGATCAAGTGGTTTGGCCTGGGCTTTGTCAGCACTTAGAATTATCTTCTAGAAGTTCTCTTGCCTCCTGAAGAAGAAATGAGGAGAAACCCAAACCAGCCAGCTCTCTGTCCAGAGTAGCTAACAAGCTCATTTTACCTCTCTGAGTTTGTGTTGTGGTCCAGATGGGCCTTCTGGGCAAGTGACATCTCTGCCCCATAGAGCCCCCTTTCCAAGACAGAGTAGTCACCCTGAAATTTCCTGAACAGCCAATGATTATGGTCTCTGCAGGAGGACAATTAGATTCCCTGGCCCTTGCAGACCATGATGCAGTATGCCATGCCTGGCTGGGACACAGGGTGCCTGAGGCACATTATTCCACAACATGACAACTGTTCCCTGCAGCACTCAGGTCTCCAGGTCTGGCCCTCTACCTGGTACTCTTGAGGGTGACACAACTACTTCTCTACAAAGACTTAGCTGATCTACTGCTTAAGGTCATAATTCTGAAACCTCCTACTTACAGCCCTCAGGAAATTTCTATTTAAAATTCCCATGCTTAAAGTCAAATCTGGCCCCTCTGTGCTTTAGATGTCAGCTGTTGACACCAGTAACCCTCCTCAGCACCGTCATCAACCCATGGTCCCCTGGCAAGTCCACAACACATTCCTAAAACCTGCCATGACTCCTCTCCCTAATTGTCACCACCCCTGCTTTCCTTCGCTGAGCTCTCACCCAGGAACTCCTGCCTTCCAAGCTGCTTCAAGCTGGCTTATACAACAAACACAAACTGTCCCATGTCCTATGGCCCATAGCTTGGCCTCTGAGACCCAGACGTTCTGGCTTCCCAAACTCCCTACCTTTATCCCTAGCCTTTTGCAATGATCCCCAATACCATCAGCATAGCTGCTATGCTATTCTGAGGCGCCACATGTTGTTCCCCGCACCTCCATGAGCCTAGGTTGAGGTCCATTGCCTCCTCTCTCCTCTCTCAGTCTATGCAGCAAGGCAGTGTCCAAAGCTCTGAGGCCCACATACCGCTTCTCCTCAACACTCACTCAAGCCCCAATAGTGGACTTCTAGTAAAAGGACTGGCACAGACATGGTGCCCAGAGACATCTTATTTAATGGATTGGCAACACTGCTTTAAGAACAGATAGATCTAAGACTGAGGGAGTCAAGAAGGCCAGTCAAGTCACAGACTATGACAAAGAGCCTGGAAAATAAACAACAGGTGTTCAAAGAAGAGGCGAACTAGAAAAGAGGAGAAGAAAACTCAGATGAGTCCTCTAAGAAGTTGACAGTGACAACAGTAAAGTAAGCAGGGATGAGAAGTACTCTAGAAACTAGAAAAGACAAGTCTTACCAATCGATTAGGTAGATGTCTGCAGTTAAGTTGTTTTTCTTGAAATGCGCAAACAATTTCGGCAAGTTTTCTTCAAAGAATACCTCAAATGCAGCAAAGTAAGTCAACATCTAGGAGACAATGTTAAACACACTAGTCAACTAGTCATCAGCATGATTTTCCAATCCACAGGAGTCAAGAGCTTTGCACACTTAGAATATAGTAATTGTTATCCAGTAACATGCAGATAAGTCTAACTCTGCCTCTAAGCTTCCCAGGGCAGCTCTGGTCACATCCCACCATTTCCTCAAGTTACAGAGGAAGACACTGAAACCCACAGCAGGTGCTTAACTTGCCACACGGGGGCAAGTGCTGGTCCATGGTAGAGCTGGGGCTTAAAGCACGCCCTGTCATGCTATGAAAGCTGCAGGAGCATTGTGGGAGATAGCAACTGGGAAGGTAAGGCTGCCTGCTGCCTAGCCTGGCACAGCCAGAGGGAGAGAAAGACTAGAGTCTGAGGGAAGGACAACGCGGCTCCAGCTTAAACATGCAGGCCTTGACCAGAGTGAATAAAGACACTACAAAAGGAAAGCAGCAACAGGCCAGGCTTGTACAAGCTTTGTAAGAAAAGAAAGAAAGCAGGGTCAGGGGAGAGACAGCATGAAGCCACCAACATAAAGGAAGAAGAGCTCCCACTGGCTGGGAGCAGCCACACCTCAGGGTGCGAGGTCTGCTCTACAGATCACCCACCAGGGGCAGAGGCAGAGCCCAGCCCTGACTTTTTACTCATTTTCATGACAGGACTACACTGTAGAGCGCAGGGACATGAGGCAATGTCTAGAGATACTTGTGTGTAGAGGCCTCCAATGAGCAGGAAACCCCACGGCAGTCATCTAGTCTAAAGGCTGCCAGTGCTGCCCAGAGCAAAGGTCCCACTCAACATCACATGCTGCTTCTCCCTTTCTTCATTCCATATTCAAGCAAAAAAGCTGAAATTATCGGAAGCAGGTACTATATATAGAATGAGAAAGTTACAGTATAGCCGGATAGCGCACTCCTGTAACCCTAGCCGTCAGGAGGCTGAGACAGTGGGCTTATGAATTCAAGCCCAGCTGGCTTATTAAATTGATATCCAGGACGAATGCATATAAATATACAATCAGTAAGTTAGCAGCAATAAGCTATTCAAGGGTGTGAATCTCTCCTAAAGATTTCACTCTTTTTCTTGGAGAGGAAAGTTTTCATCTGCTTGTGAAAGGAATCCCTGTAACTACTCAGTCAAGAAAACTTAAAGCACAGAAACACTGCAAGCCAGGCCTGTAGTATGCCTCAAAAGTTCCAGAAAGTGGGAGGCTAAAGCAGGGGACTAGGAGTTTAAGGCCAGCCTGGGCTATACAGTAAGACCCGGCCTCAAAATATTTAACAAAACAATGATAAAAATACTAATTCATGAAGGTCCTGTCCATAAGTGATGGTGGTTATGAGATTAATTCCTACTATTACACGGAGTGACTGCGTCACTAGCTGTCCTTCACGCTCCTGACACAGCAGCATGACATGGCTGCACTGGGGGGTCTTGGCAGATTTACTTACCACCTCATTTCCCCGTACCCCATTTTAAACCCTTCTAATATTTACAACTATAAATACTTACATAGTAACAATCTCTATATATAATGCTTTCTTCACAATTATGATTTTTCTCAGAACCAATTATTACAAGAACTTTGTACCAAAGCCCCTCTCAGCTTCAGAAATGGAATACCAAATAATCTTCCTGAAGCCACAGCTGACACTCCCCTAACAGCCAGAGTGAGCAGAAGCTTCAGAACAAGGAGCATTTGAGGAAGAAGTGCCCAGCTGACATGTGCCATCAGATAGTTGAGGTCTGGACAGATGAGTGGTAATGACCAGGAATTCAAAGCAATGCCAACTTAAAAGCTGATGGAAGAACAAGGTTTAGGACCTGGAATGGATTCAAACCTCAGCTCTCCCACGTACCAGATATGTCTTGGACAAGACACTTCTCAGTCTGTGCCTGCATCTGAACTAAACAGAGGACTCAGCTGTGAAGTTTTGGAGGAGGGGGTTCCTTAAAGGCCACCAATGGTAAAGGCCATCTGCATAGCATACTGCCCTGCTGGAGTAAGGGAGCATGGTCAGGAGCACACTCCTTTCTCCTGCACATGTGTTCCACTGTGACTGTGACAGTGAGCAGGAGTGTATCAGCCCCTGGTCCTTTACTCAACAGAGTTAAGGAGAACACTGCTGTTGCATCTCCCTAACCCAAAGAGCATGTGCTTGCATAGAAACCACCTTCCACCCTCATAAAGAGTACAGTGTTTCAGACACTCTCTCTAGGAGAATGCATTAATTTGTTCATGACAGAGGTGATGGCCCGTATGTTTCCATGCTTAAGTTCAAGTGTTCTCCTCATTATAAACAGCCCATTAGAAAGAGAATATGCATTCCTGTCTTGAAAAGACAGAATGATTGGATAGTTCTTGCTGCATAAAGACATGGTACTAAGATAAACAAACAGCATACTCACAAGGCCATGGTCCACTCGGAAAAATGCCATTTGACAGGGTTTATTCAAAAGATTAGAAAAAGCAATAAAGGCATCTGCAGTATCGAGGTTCAAGATCAACACTGCAGCTATAAAGGACATGCCCTGGACCTGAGGAAGGACAGAAAGGTTATGTTAACTAATGTGGCCACAAAGGTCAGAGCAGCTTTTATTTATCATGAGAAACCAAACAACTTCTCACTAAAATGGCCCACACAGCTACCCTTTCACTACATAAATAAACCCTGTCAGATCAGACCCACCCTCCACAGAGCCACAGCTCTGGTCATTAGCCACCTGCTTCCCCTCCTAATGGAAAATCATAAGCCAATCCTATCTTAGGTCTTAGGCATCTGAAATATTGCCCTCTGGTAATGTGCCATGCTGGGTGTGGTGCTGTGGTCACACATATGAATTTAGCAGGCTTAAGACCATGCACACGTAGACATCCATTAAACCATAGGAGTAGCAGCAGCACGCTTTTGAAAAATGGTTAATGGTAAAGCCTTTTCTATTTAATGTCAGGGGTATCAAGTGCACAAAGTAAAAATCACATGTAGTTGAAAGTGCAATGTATGTCACAGACCAGCTGCATCCGCCCAACTTGTCCAAGGAAACTGAATCAACTTATTTATCTCAAGATTTCCCATATTCCTCAAAAAGCCACAACAACATTCAATATAAAAGATGGGCAATGTTTTGACTTTCTTTATAGACAATAACATCATAAAAAAAACTGGAAAACATCACTTACATAACCCACATCCGGCCGGTAACAAGTATAAGCGCCCAAAATACTGTGCAACATGTCATGATATGGACCACCCTAAAAGGATTGACATACAAGATCAACACACATGCATAAGTACTGTTAGTCTCAGAACAGCGTCTAGCAACACTGCTGCTACTTTTGCTACAGTCACCCTGCTGGTCACACACGAGGGACTTTTGAGCACTATGCTGGCAGCTCTAGAGGCATTATGTAATTAATAAATGAGTTTGTCACTTGCTGTTAATGAAGAAGTCTGCAACTCTGTCTATGAAGCTGCTCTACAAAAGCTGAAGGGTCAGCTGTGCACAAGACCCTCGTGAAATGCCTGGCCTTTGGCCCCCGTTATAAACTCATGCTCCATTCCAGGTTCAGTAGGTAAGCCGGGTAGCCAGGACTCCTCAGAGCAAGTGACAAGGCTGTTGAGACTCAGCCTTGTGCCCACAACAAGTATGGTCCTTCCTGCCTCGCTTTCCTGCCTGTCATTCTTTGTTTCCTTTGCATCTTTTTGAACAGCAGGTTGGGAAAGCCTGTTCAAAGTCTTAGCTCCTCGTAGACGCCATTTCATTTCAAGCACTCTCCCAGTGGACTCCCCACGACCTGCTAAGATCTCCACTTGCTCTTGTAATTTGTTACAAACCTGTCACTTTCCCCACTTAATTGAACAGGAGACAAGGCCCGAGCTGCCCCACACTGTTAGTGTGCCAAAGACGCTCTAAAGGGAGTGGCTGGACCCACCTGAAGCTCCTCCGCCTACATCTACCACACAGCCTCAGTCAATGCAGGAATAAATATGCTTTCTAGCATATGACTAGGAAGTCACTCTGCAGGTACCCTTGGGTGGTTTACAAATGAATGACAGGAACCAGGTGATCACATTTTCTTGTTTTGTTTTGGTTGGTTGGTTATAGGGTCTCACTGTTTATCTCAAAATAGCCAGACCCTATTAATCCTGCACTCAGCCTCTTAAGTGCAGGGTTTACAACTCCCAGCAGACACTATTACATCCTCTCCTATTTTTAAAAAAAAAAAAAAAAAAGCTATATCAACGAAGAGATACCTTCAAAGCACAAAGAGCCAAATAAAGAAAATACAGTGAAGTGGGGGAAGGGCAACATGCAGGGCTAGGGACAATGGTGGCAGATCTACGAGCTGACCCAAGGGCTAGAGTGACTACAGATACAGAGAGGTTCTATGTGATCTGGGACTGAGAAAATCTATACTGATCTTTCCTTAGAGGATTTTCCACCTTGTCATTCCATCCTCTCATAGCGGTGCCAGCTCCTTTTCCTGAGTGCCCCCACTTCTGCCAGACTCTCAGGTTCCCTCCTCAGCCTTCACATTTACTGCTCTCTTGTCCTAAGATTCTAAAATCCTCTGGGGCCCACTGACCAAGGAGTCTCACTTAAAGGAAGTCTGAGAGAACAACCTACGCAGAAGGGACCAGCACTTCCATGGCCCCTCTTTTAAGCTCACCCTCTGCTCCCAGGTAAGCACCAAAGGACTGTCCATTTCAACTTCTCTGAAGCATAATTCAGGGACCATGTTTCAGGAGAAGCCCCCTCATACCCCAGGAATGCAAAGCTGGGCCCTCAGCAACGCAGGGCCTTCACAGGCTCTTAGGGCCCCATGACAATGAGGTGTGGCCCACAGCACAGTAGGACCCTCAGGACATGCTGGGAAGTCTGTCCTGTTTTACTCTTGAGTCCTACGTGTTTCTCTGTAGCAAATCTCTAGTCTTACCTCTACTAATGAGAAAGGTAATGAAGCTTCTCTCTGGTAGGCAAGAGACCACGCACCACAAGCTCCCCTTAAAGACTCCCATGGCCCCATTTCTGGGCTGTCTCTAGTGAAAGTCTTTAGCCTTTGGTGGACCTCACTGTCATTTAGCTTCAAATATAGTCCAAGATAATTAATAGTATAGCACTGATGGTTTCCCTCTGTGCGTCAAGTACTACGAACAGTGCTGTAAGACTGTGGAGATCATCTCTAGTCACAGATGAACTGATTAAGGAGCAGAGAGATTAAATATTTTACCTTCGGCCAAAATGCTAGCAAGAAGGCAACTGATTGTAATCAAACCCAATCAGTAAGGCCAATGTCAATCCCCTTCATAAAGCAGCATTGCCTAATTCCCTTCAGAGCTGGAGTTGCAGGAATCCCCACTGAGATGGGAAGGCCCAAGTATTCTAGAAGAAGGCCTCCAAGGAGATGACCAGAAAGTGGGCTGCAAGGTATGGGCTGAGGCCTACAGAACTGAGCTAGGAGGAGAAAGACAATCCTTCAGAGAGAGAAAGAAATATTCTGAAGACGACTGCCCAGCTGAGTCCACACCTGCCACCAAGCCTGAGCAGTTCTCCCAGGGATTAAAGACACTAGGCCAAAATTCTGGACAGCTATATAACTATGTAGACTTTTCCCCTTGCTTTGACTGCAAGAGTCCTGAAAACTCAATGCAACATTGCCAAATGAATTAAGTTACAGGAAGCCAAGAGAAAATAAAAGCCCCATCAGGTACCATAAGGTTCCTCATCTTATCCCCTGATCCAATCCAGAGGCACAGAGACCAGAAGAAACCATGAGGGAATGCAGGTGGGGAGCAAAGCAGACAAGGGACATCATATGCTCACTGGCAAGTCAAAGTACCTAAGGTCTTAAGCTCCTCCCTCCTTGGCATTGGGTCCCTGCTTTGTAGAATTACTGCGACAGCAATAACCCTGTCACTGGAACCTGAAGACTCCTCTTGGTCACCCCCTCCCCAAGCACCCACAGTACTCAGATTGGCACTGCCCTCGAGGCTAGCTAGTTCCTGATGCCTAGCCAAGTCATGCTCCCTGCCTGCTTCTCAGCCACAAACCAGAGTCCTAGAACTCTGCCCTCTACATACTCAGCTCTGGTTGAGGAGCAGTCCTTACCAGTGCTACATTCACTAAACTGAGAACTCCTCTGGGGAGGCTCCAGGAACAACTGTGTCTTCCACACTCATTCTTGCACAGGGGTCCCAACACTTCTGCCCCAGTTGTACTTCTGCCTGGTACCTGCTCTCTGCCAGACCACAGTAATTAAACCTAGTGTGTACACAGACAAGACTGCTCCCTTCCTCCTGGATATGACCTCTGATTCTCTACCCCGCAAAAGAGGACAGTGCCTCTCTTGTGCTTTCAAGGCTGTCCAGCCTAACATTCATCCCAAGCCTACCTAAACTCAATGTTCTGTTCATGCTGCAGCCACTTAACCAACTCATTCCAGTTTGTTACACCACCCTTTCCTAGTAAGCCACTGTGTATAAGGCAACAAACTGGGAACTATGATACATGACTGGAGATTCCAATAGGATCAGCAGGTAAAGTGAATGGAAGGAGGCAGGGCAGCCAGGAGAGGTGAGGGAGGCTGCTATGGCAACCTACAATGCCTAGGCTCTAGAATAAAGCAGAGAGAACGGAGAAGGGAAAGATGGAGAACTATTATAAAGGAGAGCTGGTGATACTCCTAGCTTACAAGAAAAAGGCCTCAAAGGACACTTCTGACTCAAAGAAGACAAGGCCTTGAGAGCGGACTTTAAGTCCAACCCCCACTCCCACCCTACCCCCCATCTGCCCAAATGACAGAGGAGAGGCCTTTCTTGATCCACTAACATCCAGACAAGAATCCATCCCCAAACCTTGTGGCTCATCATCTCAGAAACCTCACCACCTCTGCTCAGCCACCCAGCCTGACTACACCAAGGCTATGGGGCACTCCTTCCCGACTCTCCTTTCAGCAGGTCCCTGAAATCACATTGAGGCTCCTACAAAATGGACACAACTACCTACAGTCCTGAAAACAGAAGAGCACCAAGGAACACTCTGACAACCCATAAGCCCTTCTGCACCACCTGCCACGGCTCTGGAATGCACACTTTACAAAAAGAACCAATCACCTTTAAGGCAGAAGCATGACCAGGAAGAACCAGTTACACACATTTTAAGCATCTAAATGCATTGTCCCTGATCCCCACCTTACCTCCCCCCGCCAAACCCTAACTAACCTTTCAAATATGACTCCAAATACATGTGGCTCAGTATTTATAAAACTTATACAGGGCACACTTGTGACAAATCCCCACCACTTACTTGCTGGAAGATGCAGAGATTGGGAAATGTTCTAGAAATGTCCAGTTTAATAAGCTCCAGACTGGCCTCTCTGTCTGCTGCTGAAAACCCAGCATCTGTCAAAAGAGCAAAAGTCATTGCATGCCTCAGCACAGACATGGGTCATTACCAGGCTCTGACGCTTTAGAACGTGAGACACAGAGAGAAGCTCTTCCCAAGCACAGCTCGATCACGCCTCGCCTACACAGTGTCCACCTCCATCAAGTGCACATGGCAAGTACAGAATCTCTCACTCTAGGGATCAAAATGCCTCATGGCATGAGCTGGAACATCATCAGATTATTTTCTAGAGTCTAAAAATCAAAATCTAATTTGATATTACTTGTTATCAACAACAAGGAGAGAAATAAGTACAAGTTGAGAAATGCACACAATGAACCCAAGCATGAGGAATCACTACACAGATGACCTTTGACCTAAACAATCTGTGGTGAGAATGTTAGGTGTTGCCTCAAAACCTTAAAAGCAAAACTACACACGATCCAGCAATCCCGCTCCTGGTATGCAGCTAAAGGAGACAGGAGAGGTATCTGCAACGACCACTGCACGTCCATGTTCACTTCAGCACTATGCATGGTAGTCTGTCTGGAGGGAAACAGATGAAGAAAAGGTAGCAGATATGGACAGCAGATGAGCCGAGAGGGGCGTGGTGCCAGAGGAATAAACCAACCATAGAAAGATAAGGACTGTGTGACATCATTTGTATACTCAATCTAAAAAAGTTCAACTCTGAGTAGCAGAAAACAGAACAGGTTGCCCAGAGGCAGGGGAGGATGGAGCAGGAAGGAACCAGGAAGATATTGGTCAAAAGATAACAAACTTTCAGACAGGAGGAAATTCCCACAACATGAAGACTGTAGCGAGTTATACACTGTATCCTTGAAACAGGCCGCAGGGGCAGAGGTAAAGTGAGTCCCCATTAACAAAACCTAAGGAGGGGTTCAGCTAGGGACACAGATCAGCAACAAAAATTAGACCTAGCATCTATTTGATATTACTTATCATCAGCAACGGGGAAAGTAAGCGCTGAGATAGACTGAGAGGAGCAATCTATGGGAGGTAATGTGTATTATCTAATATAGGTCACCTACATTAATACTTTCATCTTAAATATTGAAATCCCTAAAGTATAAAATCCTAGAAATATAATTCTGAACTTTTAAAACTATATTTAAAGGCATTTACTTACATTTTTATCATGTTATAAATGCTTCAAAATATGTACATGACAGACACACACAATCTTGTCAACTTATAAAATAAAAATAGGAACAGCTTATGTTCAATATTCACAATAGTGTTTTATGAATTTTAAGTTTCCAATACGATAGCACAACAAGTCACACCGCCTAGCCACAGAGGTTATTGCTCTGAGTCAGTGGATCTTTCCTCTAATCTCATAGATACACACACCTGCTGCCTCTGGAAGCCAACACTCAATGAACCAGGCTACCAGGCAACTCTAGTTAGAAGCAACTGCTTGTGAGCAGGACACACAAACCCTCTGAGGAGCTGTGGGGTTCTATTTCTTCTAAAAGTTATTGCCTTTCTATTTTTGTTTTTTAACAGTCCCTTTGCCACAGGCCACACTCGCGTTGAGGAGTCCTGCCATGAGTGGCCATTCAGTGAGGGAAAAGCTGTACCTTCATTCTCCACTTCTGAGCCTCCAGTGCTGAGGGACCGCCACCGCTCCTTGGCCCGAGCAAGACAGATGTCAAAGAGCTCTGAAAGAAAAGTTTCTGGTAAGTAAGTCTTACATGTCCCCTCGACAACACTGAGAACACACAACTGTCTCTTTCTGTACACAGAGTAAGGCATTCTTCTGACAATTCCTCCCAGCTTAGCCTGAAAGACAGCCATTTACAAAGGAAGGCCACGCACACTGCCATGGGGCTTGGTGCCTTCCTCTGCTCACAGCTCCCTATTCATGTCTTGCTCTGACCTTCTGTGACTGCCCACTGCCTCTTGGATGGCCAGTCTCTTGCTTACCTCTGTATCCAGACTAGTGGCCTGGGGACTGAAGAGAACAGTTAGTCAGTGTCTCATCTATGGACTAAGGGGTGGGTGGACAGAGTCCATCTGGTTTCTAACAAGTTTGAGTCATAATGTTAAGAAAAAAAAAAAAGCTTTAATTTGAAATCCTTAAAGTCTAAAATCCTGAAAATATGAAAATACAATTCTTAAAAAAAAAAGACATTTATTTACATCTTAAGAGGAAGATTTGGGAAACATAAAAACAATACAATACATGTGTTGCTTTGTGCAACAAAATAGGCATCAATGCTACAGTGTAAACGAAGGACATTATATGCCTAAGTCATAAGCAGATGACCTATATACACAGAAATATGCTGAAAAGCAAAGTATATGAATAGTTATCATTATGGTTCATAACTGTGCACCAAGCTTCCTAACTGTGGCCATGTGAAATACTGGCCAGGAGACCGAAATCTTTAATCAAAACTGAGATGGGTTACCACTGCATATACAGTCATCCAAATAGCCTAGACTTTAAAGAATGTTCACAGATGCAGATGTCCAAAAGGACATCTCATTCAGCTATGCTGGCAGACAGGAGCCTAGCATAACTGTCCTCTGAGTGGCCCCACCCAGCAGCCAATGGAAAGAGATGCAGAGACCCACAGACAAACATTAGATGGAGCTTGGGGAGTCTTATGGAACAGTGTAGAGAAGGACTGAGGGACCCAAAGGGGTTAGGGACTCTACAAAAAGACTAACAGAGTCAACTAACCTGGACCCAAAGACTGAACCACCAACCAAAGAACAAGCATGGGCTAGACCTAGCCCCCTATGCATATGTAGATGTGCAACTTGGTCTTCATGTGGGTCCCCCAGTAACTGGACTGTCCCTGAATCTGTTGCCTGACCAAGGATCCCGTTCCCTTAACTGAGCTATCCTGTCTGGCCTCAGTAGGACAGATTTTTCACCTAGTCCTGCAGTGACTTGATGTGCCAGGGTGGGGTGATACCATACACACCATACACAGTGGTAACTGTCCCCGGGACACTTGCTGCATGGCCTCCAGGACAGTACTTCCCGCAACGACTCCACCTGCACTCAACAAACCACAGAAGCAGAAGCTGCAGAAGCAGTACCACCCATCTTCCTGCAACACTGTTGGCAGCTTCTAGAAGTACCCCAACCAGTAAATGCTGACCTCTTCAGATAAATGCTGCCTGAGTTCCTTAAAAGCTTCTGAATGTCATTAGCTTGGAGAAACACCACTGCTGACAAATGCTTAAAAAGAAAAAGAAAAAGAAAAAAAAAACTCTCAAAACTGGCATTTTAGACCCTGCTGCTTTGCATGATCAATCCTTCCAGAGAATTTGAGTGTCTACCTCTTCTCCATGGAAATTGCTTTTGAAATTCAGTTTCCAAGATTACAATATTCCCAATTTTAAACTTTCAGACCCATGATTTCTAGGATTAAGATGAGCACTGCCTTCAAATAAGGATGCGGGGAGCTTGCTACCCAGATGGCATGGGATTCCTCATCTCACTGCTGAGGGAAGGGCGTAGAAACTGTGCTCTGAGCAGGCAGAGCTCTCAAAGAACAATTCCTGTCATCAGAGAATTATCACACTTGTCTTCAAATCTCTTCCACATTCAGATCCTGTGTTTTCAGCAGCCCTGCGCCTCAGGCAGTTGCTAATTACCAGATAACTTCAGCTTCCCAATAACCACTGCAGGCCAGCAGACTGGGCTCTGGAGCACCACCACTGCAGGCCAGCAGACTAGGCCCCTGGAGCACCACCACTGCAGGCCAGCAGACTGGGCCCCTGGAGCACCACGAGCTATGCTCGTGACTCAACAACACTCCATGCCACAAGCGCTGGGTTTGTCTCAGTGCCCAGCTCCTTTCCCACCCCCACTCCCTGTACGCTGAGGACTGCTGACCAATCACTGCCTTTCTCTGAGTGTTTGCCATGTTACCTTTTTCATCATTTACTCTGCAGGGTAAAGCTGCCTTCATGGGTTTTACTAAGTGTACTCATCCTGATGACCCCATTCTGGTTTTATGACAGCTCTAACATACATACAACTGGTGTGCCATGGCAAAGTGACACAGTTATGACACACAGCTTTATTTTATTGTACTAAGAGAAGCACAGAAGTGTCCAGGGCTGGGGTCTTGAGCATGCACTAGGACCTCTACCCACTCAACCTCCAGGTGGGCTGGCAGATTTAGATGTTCAATTTGGGAATCCCCAGCTTTGTTCTTCTTAAAAGCTGAACAATTGAAAATTTGCTGCAACTTAACCTAATTAGAATACTAAGACTTCCTGGAAAAGTCAGGCTCGGAATTCAAAAGTTAGGGCTTGGGTCAAAACATTTCTGTAATTCTCAAAGAAGCACACAAAACTACTACATGGCATGCTTACTGCCAGATTTCCTGGAACTGGCAGTGTGCCTCTAGTCATATCAGACTTCCACTGCATCCCACTGGTGAATCTTTCTGCCTCTCAATTCTTCTCCCAGAGTCCTTATCTCTCTGCCTGGAAGTTCCGCCCTCACTTCCTGATTCAGCTATTAGCTTTATTAAGCCAATCAAAAGGTAAGGAATTGTCTATGTTTACAAAATATTGAGGCAGGTGATGGTCCATACGAATAACAATACCAAAATCTAGCCAGTATTCAGCTATCGAACAGAAATCAACATTACAATAATACAAAGACAACCTTCACACTGTGTATGAAAACGTTATCCCACCAGCATGTGCCCATTAGGGCTCCACCTTACAAGTGAAGAACTTGTTAGAAGGAGACTGGGTATAATGTGTCCATGTCTGAGCTCACAGAACCTCCCCCACAGTTTTACTATCGCATGTACAGTCATGGTAGAATGGTGACACTTTTCTCTCAGGACCCCAGCTCCAACCTCCTTTTAAAATTCAATTTATTATTGTGTATACACAAGTATGTGATGGGGGAGGAACTCACATGTGACACAACATACATGTGGAGGCCAGAGGACAACTGTGGAGTCAGTTCTCTCCCTCTACCTTTGTATGTGTCCCAGGATCAAATTTATAGCACTACGTTTGCATGGTATGTGCCTTTTCTGCTAAGCAATGCTACCAAGCACCCAGCCCTAATTTCAAAGCACAAGCCTGTCTTTCCTGTGTGGGGTTTGGATGTTTTGTTTTCCTGGGATGAGGGGTTGCTTATTTGTTACTGGATTTTGTTGTCAACGCGCCCCCCCCCACACACACACACACACATCTCAAGGGCTAAGGTGCAGGCACGAGCACCATGCCTGCTCAAGAGTGAAACTTAGTAGTACTGTTGGACTCTGGGTCTTCCCAGGTCAGAACATGAACGTCAGAATCAGTCAAAAGTAGAATGAGAACCTTGACCCCACACACACTTGCCACAGATGTGGAACACAATGCCTAACCTTTTTCAAGAAAACGAGGTCCCAAGAGCTGACATTTAATGAGATGTGAGGCAGTGTACAGCAGCTGGTGGTGCTTGGCACCCAGTAGACCAAAATCACTGACTCAGACTGGCTGGGAGAGACAGTAAGGTGAAGTCAGAAAGGTACGTTCATTCACTCAACAAACACTTCAGAGGGGGCCTGCCACATCCAGAAGATTAGGCTGGGCACAAATGACAGAGCAGATGGCAGTGCAGTGAGGCCACTCTAACAGGGACAATGGACAGGACACAGCATTCACAGACAGACATAAGCTATACAGAGTGAGCCAGGACCAAGGCATAGGTCCTCGACAAGATGTACACACAATTCAGCAGCTGCTCGGCACCATCGGCTCATCAAAGAGGTCATCACAGGTTTTAATTTAAGTAAATCAAACCCAGACATCAATCAATGAGAGCCAGAAATTAAACACATATGCACTACATGTTGCATCCAATTAGCCACAGGACTGTTGGTGGAGTTTAGAAGACTCTCAAGCACACACATCTCTGCATGCTCAGCAGCTTCTCACCTCTTCTTCTGAGAGGCTAAGATCTACCTCAAGTCACACATTATACATCTTCTCATACAAAGACTGTAGAGTGAAATTTTGGCAGCAGCCAGAAAAGGAGTAGCATTTAGCCAGAAAAGGAGTTTAGAGAAGGTTTTTTGCCCTGCCATCCTCCTTGAAGAAAGCCAGTCACCACCTGACTAGCAGCTCTGATATTCAGCATGGAGACACTACTTAGAACAAAGCTACTGCCATAGCAGAAGCCACATCATCAGGATGAACACAGTAAGCTAACTAGAGGGCTCAGGGACAAGCAATCTGCCTTAAACTGGAGAGTCTTTACCACAGTAAAAGCAGCCTGACCTCAATGAGAGGAAGGAGAGGCCGGCCGGCCTGCCTGCCTGCCTGCCTGCCTGCCTGCCACCTTCCAGAGTAGCTTACTTTCAACAGGAAGGAATAGGACTTCCCTGTAGTAAGGCTTCCTGTTTGATCTAGAACTCTTGAGGCCCAGAGCCCTGCTGGGCACTACAGATCAATGAGTAAGTCCATCTAGACTGGTGTGCCAGAGCCACAAAAGCTGTGCACTTGAGAGATTTGAGGATTTGTTCTGTCTTAGAGACAGGGTCTCACCCTGTAGCCCAGGCTGACCTTGATCCAGCAACAACCCTTTGGCCTCAGCCTCTCAAGTGCTGGGATTACAGCTGTGTACCACCATGCCCACTTGTTTTTCTTCCAAGTTCCAATACTGGAGATTGAACCCAGGGCTTTGCTTAAACTAGTCAAGCACTCTACCATGGAGTTAGGTGGTTAAGAAGCATCATAAACAGCTTAAAAACTGGGAGCAGGGGTCTCCCTCCCTCCCTAACATGCTAGCTTCACATGCTTATGCCCTATAGATACCAGCCCTAGCCTCTCTAGGGCTCAAAGCAAAACAAAAAAGCACCAAAGGGTATCCTAACCAAACACCTCCACTCTCCTGTCTGACCCTGAGGAGAATTCCGCCTACCTCACTGAGGCTTAGTACCCTGTGTCTGCTATCCTTCTCTTTAGGAAGCCTGCTCTGACCACTCAGGAATCTGGAGCAGGCAGCATTGAACCCACTACCCAGATACTCTCTCAAGAAAACAGATTTACCTGGCCTTTCCACCAGAGCTTCATGGCCGTGGTTACCATACTCTCCAATGTGGGAAAAGGGACAGAAGGGAGTCCCAGACCCCCAGGGTGAACTGCAGAGCCTAGAGTCACACAAGCCACTCACCGTGAGTGATGTTCAACTCGTTGCCAATGGCCAAGCTCCAAACTTTGCCTCTTACACTCGGAGGGATTCCCTGCCACCACAAGTCTCGAACCTTCTTAGAGCACCACCTGAACAGAACGGAAGCATGAGTTTCTACGTTTGCTCTCAATGGAGGAAGGCTCATCTGCACACAAGCCTCACCCCCACTTACCTTTCCCTCAGGGAGCTCCCCCTCCTGACTCTACTGAAATCCACACACTACGACTACTGCTGTGACAGGTACTGAAGGCACAGCATGGAACACCACAGACCAAAGAACCAAGACACCTTCCAGAACCAGGTTCTGGTTGATTAGATGTTATATACACATACACATGAAGAATTGAAAAAGACTATGAGCAGAAAACACAGACAGGGGAAAGAGAGTGGACTCCTACGGGACTACAAAGAGCTGTGCACAGGTAAGGAGTGCAGGGCATAGGGGAAGCAAGCTGGGCACAGAGGAGGCATGCAGGCAGTTCTCTTCTACAGAAATGTAGTGGAAAGGGGCCTCACAGGGAAGCCACACACTACTGTAGACAGGATGCTAACTGGGGAAAGTCTAAACAACACAGTCATTCAAGACTGTTGGTCACAATGACCCTGCCTGTACTGGTCACACAGGAAGAAAACAGAACTGAGGATGCCACAGCTGCCGGGCACTGTGGGGTGCCACTCTGTACTGACACTGCAGGTTGACATCAAAGACAAGTGGTTTCCACCCTTAGAAAGAGACAGATGCTCAAGCAGACAGGGCCAGGAGACTCAAGGGAGTCTTCCACAGGTGGGGGCAGGAAATTCTTCCCTGTGAAGACTAAGCCAGAGAAAAACAGGATTTAGAAGGCTGAAGAGGTTCAGGACACTGTAGACAGGGGAAGGGCAGGCAAAGGTCCAGAGGTTACAGATTAGTAGTTCCTACTGGGTAGTCCTGGGAACAGTCTGCAGAGACAGGGCAGGCCATCTCACACAGAAGTCTGTCCCTTCAGGTACAAAGTTCAATTTCATATGGAGACTCAACAAGCTATCGAAATTTTAAGTATAGAGTGACACAGGCATAAGCTTTACAAGCATGGCTCAGGCTCTCAAAAGATAAACTGGAAGAGGCTGTTAGCATATCCAGCTACTCCAGCTACTGCCCACAGACTCCAGAAAGGAGTGGTCACACTAAGCAGCAGCAGTGAGGCAATGCTTACATGGTTTCCCAGTTAGGCAAGATCTCATTATTCCAGGTGAGGACGGCGTTTCCAATGCTCTCTTCAACCTTGCACCTTTCCTCCAGCTGCTTCTTCCGCCGCTGGGCTTCTTTAAGCTCTATAAACCGCGAGTAAAACAAAGAAAACACTGAGCAGCCAGGACTCACCGTGCCAGAAAATAACAGTGAAGGAGGAGTTGGAGATGTGACTTAGTATTTAAGTGTTTGCTGCAAAAGCATGGGGCTGGGGTTCAGATCTCAGCACCCACATAAAGGCTGAGTATGGGTACATGCCTGTGACCCCAACACTGAGCACAGTAGACAGGAGGACTGCTGGCTGCCAGTCCAGCAGAACCTGAAAGCTTTGAGATCAGCAAGAGATCTTGCCTCAAAGAGTAAGATGGACAGCAACAGGACACCTGATGGATGCCCCCTCTGGCCTGGGTGCATGTTTGTGAGTGTACACACATTCAGGGGAGTTGGGGGCAGGGAGAGAGGAAGAGTGACAGAGACAGATGGGTGGTGTGGGTAGGCAGCAAAGTCTGTTCTTGACATTCACTTCATAACATATGGAGTTAATGTGTGAACTTGGGGTCTTGCTATGTGGTTCAATTTGGCCTCAAACTCAGTATTTTCCTCTTACTCCAGAGTGCAGAGATTACAGGTATATGCATCATACCCTATTCCTCATAGACTACAGAACATTCTATCCATCCTTCAGTAAAACAGTATACAATCACAAATATAATTCAACGGATACAACACACGCAAACCTATGAAAGCGTCCAATCAAACCAACTGAACACATCACAAGAACACTGAAAACCCATTGCATTCCCCATCCCACTCCTTCCGAATGTGACCTCTAAGCTCACTCCAAACATCTTGTGCAGTGTTTTGTTTTGTTTTTTTTTAATTGTATGTGTACGGTATTTTGCTGAATGTATATTTGTGTATCATATATATGCCAGGTAACCTCAGGGGTCTGAAGAAGGCATCAAATAAACCCCTGGAACTGAATTACAGATGGTTGTGAGTTATCAAGTGTGTGTTGGGGACCAAGCTTGGGTCCCCTGGAAGAGCAACAAGCACTCTCAGCCACCTAGCCAGGGCTCTGGCCCCTTGTGCTTTACTCTTCATTTACCAGCAGCAATGCGGAGGAAGACTAAGCACACTATTTCCTTAGTTTACTCCACGGTAACATCTACATCCATGGGCTCTCTCAGTCAACCAAATCATGTCTGTACTAAACAGTACAAACTGTTTTCCTGTCGTTGTTCCCTGAGCAATCCTCTGGTAAGTATCTACATGGTATACAACTATTGTGGGTAATCTTCAGATGACCTGAAGTACAGGATGGTGTACACAGCTTATATGCACACAGAATCGTGCCATTTTACAAACAAGCCTTGAGCGTCTTTAGATTCTGGAGCAGCAAGAGGTTCTGGAACCATTCACTCGTGGGTCCTTGGGGGATACATAGCACAGACGTTACTATTTTACGTTACTATTTTACGTTACTATCCCCTTATGGGGATACATAGCACAGACGTTACTATTTTAACCTCTTTAGCTGTATAACCTCGTAGCATTTACTCTCACTGTAATACACTCCCATCACTATCATATCTAGAACCTGGCCATCTTATTGACTAAACTTGTCCTCATTAACCACTAACTCCCTGTCTGCCCCTCCTCAGGCAGCCTCTACTGAAAAAGACTCTCACACACTACACCATGGCACCCCAAAGAAATGACACCATACCATCTGGCATTTAGCCACTGGCTTGTTTGTTTTACTTTGAATCAATCAGGTTCAACCATTTTGTAATGTGTCAGAATTTCCTTCTTAAAGGATGAATGATATTCCATTTATTTATTGTACGTACTTTTAAACATTCCAGAGTCACAGCACTCTCTAGGTTTTTAAATGCTTCAAAGAACTTATCCAATCCCTCGCATCTTATGAAGAGCCAAGGAGAGGAAAGAGCTGCATGTTGCTATTGGCTGCCACTCTTTTGAGCACACACCTCTTATCTCATGTAAATCTGTTCTTTGTCACAGGGTCTGGTTATATAGTAAAGACTGGCTTTGAACTCATGAGTCTCCTGCCTCAGGTTCGCAAGTGCTGGGTTAACAAGGTGTGTGCTACCAGAGTTCACGCTCATATAGAATCCTTATGCTTCCAGGAATGACGAGAAGCATCCTTTTCTGTCTGTTTAATGGAAAAGTCATATATTTCAAAGTATTAATGCCTTTGTCAAGATTAAAGCTAACGAACTTCAACAGAGAAGAAGAGAACAGAGCTGGCTGGCTGTCACAGTACCTCGTTTCTTGGCCTGCACCACCATCTCTTCATACTGCTGCCTATGCTTTTGAGCTTCTTCAGCTGGCTTTGCTGGGAGATTTCTTAACAGGAAATAAACAGGGTTGCACTGTTACAATTAGATAAAAGTCTGAGGGAACAAAATCACCTGAAGCATTATTGCATAAAAGCTCTAAAACCCAAGGTTAAAAAATACATTTTTAAAAACTACAGTTCTTTCATAAATTGAAACTATATTTGCTTTATTGAGACTCATATGGCCCAGGAGACCCTACTATCTTGGCCTCTCAAGTGCTGGGACTACAGGTATGTGCTACCTTGCTCAGCTGGAGACTGAGCCTGGGGCCTTACACATACTAGTCAAGCAAGGGCTCCACCACTGAACTCTCTCCCTGCAAAGACATTTCTGAGAAAACATGATACTCACTGTGAAACACTGGGTTATAAACATATAGAAAAAGAAGTCGGCCTATTCTTTGAAGAAATTGTTCTTAGTGCAAAGCAGCAATGTCAGCACCTGCTCCCTGCATCAGGATGACCTCACAGCATATATTACACGGCAGTTTAACTGCTTACTTTCAGATCAGCTCTTGTGATGGTTAATCATACTGCTGGCTGCAACTCCTTCAGAAACATCCCCCTGGGTGTGTCTGGGAGGGTATTTCCAGACTGGTTTAAAGAAGGAATGTGGGTGACCCCATTCCAAAGGCTGGGAGGAAGCAAGATAAGTACCAACATTATCTGCTTCCTGCCAGCTGATGCCACTCGATCAGCAGAAGTCAGCTGTAACGCCCTCTCCACCATGATGGCCTATACCCTCAAACTGTGAGCCAAGATAAGCCCTGCTTCCTTGAGCTTTTTTTTTCCTTTTGGTCAGGTGTTTGCCACAGCAATGAGAGCAATAATCTATACAGTGCTGTAGTTCCTTTGCTCTGTCTTATGCAAACGCACTCAGGAGTTATATGGATCCCATAGAGAATGCCAGTGGCGCCTGCGGCTGACTTAATGGGATGTGATGGCACTTGGCCTGCATTCCACAAGTACTATATCATGATCCCTGTGAGACTGCAACCACCACCACTGGCCAGAAGTGGCCAGCCCGGTCGACCTCTCAGCACACTAAAAGAGCTGGTCTCTTTACCCTAGAGTTCCAACCTCCTCTTCAGGGTTTGCTACAATCCTAAAGATATACTCCTCATTAGACTTCACATTTTAATTGTTTATTTAATTACATTTTCTCCTCCTTCTCTCCTCTCTCCTCCCTGTCCTTCCTTGACCCCTCCCCTACCCTCTGTGTGTGTGTGTGCGCGCACGCGCATGCGTGTGTGTGTGTGTGTGTGTGTGTGTGTGTGTGCCTGTGTGTCAGAGGATAACTTGCAGAAGTCAGCTGTTTCTTTCCACCATTCAGATGCCAGGAATTAGGCTTGGCAGCAAGCATCTTTTTTAACCTACTGACCATATATATGACTGGCCTGCCTTCACAGTTTTAAGTATCAGGGATGGACAGGAGGCTGGAATGGACTAGCCCAGGACAGGACAACCTGTCATTGTTCTTGTTCTTCCTCAAGTAGGAAACCTTCTCCCTGATGCATTGTTCTCTGTAAATTCAGTAATTAGATTAGCTATGACTTTCTTCTTCAGAAGGTCTCCAAGCATGACTGCCTGCCTCATCACACAGTGGGGATACTAGGGCCCAGAAAGAGAGGAGTCCTAGCTCAAACCACCCAAGAAACTCCACAGACCACTCTAAGAGGTATACACACACACACACACACACACACACACACACACACACAAAGAGGCACCTCCAAAGCACGACTCTGAAGCATGCTTGCAGGGTTCCTTGTACTCCCAACTAGCCTTGCGCTTACAGCAGCCACACAATGCAAACCTGCGTAATAAACTGCAAGTAAATACTGCCTGGAAGGAAAAGCATGGCTAAATTCCTATGACACAGGTCAGTTTCTTAAATCACCATGTGATGTCACATTGAGTGAAGGCTAACATGGAGGTAACAAGAGACCCAGCCACTCTTCTCCCCTCTCCTGCCTCCAGAAACAGAGCGGTCCCACGGCAGACAGCACAGAGGCTCTCCTCAGACTCACGCGGGTCTGTCCTCGAGGATGAGCGCTGTGGTGGACAGTGGCTCAAAATCCAGGTTCTTCCTCACATTCTGCTTTGGAGAGGGCGGCCTGCTCGGTCTTCCAGCCTTGTCTTCATATTCCTAGGACAAAGACATCAAGGTGACTCTGGGCCCAGCCAGTTTCGTATCATCAGAATGGAGCTACTTACTTGTAGCTGAGTTCATTGTAAGGGTGAGTGCACTTCAAGTCTTCCCTGCTGTTCAGAAGGAAAGCCTTGGGGAGAAGGGCTCCAAGAGCTCCCTGCTATGGTGATGCCTTAGGACAGGTCCACACACTTCCCCTGTGGTGGTTACAAAGTTACAAGGGTCAGCAGCCCCTGAACCACAATTCCCACATAGTGACAGGGCTGTATTTCTTGGTAAGAGATGAGTGGCGATTGTAACACCCATCGCTATGTCATCACTATACAATGTCCTGTCAATAATTCTACCATGCCCTGGAAATCTAAAAGTGACCTCCAAACCACCAAGTCACTAACTAGATCCACGGACTGCAGCCATAGCAGCTTAGTCACACTTAGTGACCCAGATTCCAAACACCCAGTAAAAGGGTTCAGGAGAGTCAGCTTCTGGAATAATGCATGATTGGGCTCCTGCAAAATCAAAACATGTTCACCTCTGGTTGTCTATACAGGTAAGCACCATCGGGAGGTGATATGGTTGGGAACAAAGTGTGGAGCTGCCATTCTGGATGACCAGAGCCACAGAATCCTGTGAAAAGAATTTAATGACACTAGCTAGAAAAGTTACTTCACAAGCAATTATTCTCTCGCCCAGAAAAGACAGCTACAGCTTCTAAAAACTGTGACAGCTCCCATGCACTGGGCGCACAGGGTTAGGATCCTACCTTGCCTACCCTGAGCTGATCCCACTGAAGAGGGAAACCCTTCCCAGTTACCTAACTAGAGCTGAGGGACTGATGTTGGCTCATGGACCTTATACAAGGCTGAGTAGCGACAGCCCAGCGCTAGTAGCAGGATGTTCCAAGTCCAGTAAGTAGGTATCAACATCTTCAGCTCTATAAGAAATCTACCCAAGGCTCTATGCTGACAGGGATTCTAAAGCAAGTGGCATCTGGCAAGAATCAGTAACAGTCTCCCATTGGGTGCTACCTATCTGCTGAGCCTGGTCAGTACAATTTATGCTAAGGCCAGCAATCTCACACCACAAGTCAGATGCCAAAGAGTCTGGATGCTTCTTTCCATTTGCTGTGGTTCTAGACACTGTCTGACCTGACTGCTCTAACAACCAGTATGTCACCCTACCTTACAGACAGGACGCGCTACAAGTTCAAAGTGCAAGGTTGGAGTTGCAGGCCCTCTACACTGCCACCCTAAGGAGTCCTGACCTTCTTTGCAACTATACTCAAACAAATGTGTAGTTTGGGAGCAAAAAACACCAAGTCTTCCACAGGTTACAGAGGTGAAACAACACACAGGTCCACTAACCAGCAGCTAAGATTCAGGCAAAGAACATTCTTAGAATTCTTGAGCCTGGTCCCTCAGCCACCAGGTGGACACGAGCACTATCAGAGAAGACTGCTGCCAGCATCAGGGAGACAGGCACACATCAGTCAGTCAGCAAGCATAGCCCCTACAGCATAGGGACAGTGTTGCACACACCATTACATTCTCCCTCAGACCTGAAATGACTACAGAATGCAAGGGAAAACACTGCAGATAAAACACCGATCAGAGAGTCCAACAAAGTTTTCAAGCCAAAGATATGGGACACAGAAGCAAAAAGGAATGTCTTGATTCAAGGCCAAAACATCAGACCTTGTCAACAAGCACTTGTTACTAACTCAAGTAACACCTTTGGCAGTGGCAGCTGATCAGGCTAATGTAGCAAGGGCTTTCTAGGGGCCTCCCAAGCAGAAATGATTTAATCTGCACACCAATGGGGGGGTGGGGAGATGCCACCATCACCACCTCAATCCTAATGCATATTGGAGGCCCACAGATTTACTCACAGAGAATGGAGAAACTGATCAGACTCTAAGCACTGGGCTCATTAGGGACATTTCTCATCAACCCGAGTGAGCTGCTCACAGGTAGGAGGACTCCATAGGAGTCATTGCATTCAGCCTCAACAAAGCGTCCAACCCTGACAGAACCTGTAATCCTGAGTCAGTTAATGCCAAATGGGGTCAAATATCATCATTCATCACACAGTGATGCCTGATTTAATGATAGAGACTGGCCTGCCAAAGCTTGAAATCCATGTAGAGCCTTTCAAAACCCAAATGGGGCATTGGAAAGAAGGCTCAATGGTTGGGAGCACTGGCTGTTCTTCTGGAGGACCCAGGTTCGGTTCCCAGCACTCATATGACAGCCTCACAACTGTCTGTAACTCCAGCTTTGGGACTCCAACATCCTTACATAGACATACATGTGGAGAAAACACTAATGTACATAAAATAAAAATATAAATCAATTTTTAAAACTCAAACGTTACTCGTATATACAAATAGAATGGTGCTGGCATGATCACAAGTCCTGCCCCAAACTTAGTTCTTTTTTCTACATCCACTGGAGATGTCCACAGTAGGCTGTCTGTACAACCAGACAAACCAGCTCCAGATACAGGAGGACAATACTCACTCTAAGGCCTGAAAAGAATGCTTGCTACTGACTGGTAAGCACTAGGGCCATACACAATGCAGCAGGAGCAAAGCTTCAAATGACCAAGATCTAAGCCCTGCCTTTTACTTTAGGCAAGTCTAGACTATCTCCTGCTTCCACTCCATCATTATAAACAGAAGTGACTGGTAAGACAGGACACTGTGAGACTTAAACAGGGTAGTATACTATAATGACTGCCTGTTCTCTGATGAACTGAGCTCTGTATGGCAGGAGAAATCTGTGGGATCTGTCCATCTAACTTGTCACAACATGAAGACAAGCTAGGGAGTCTTTCTGCCTTAAGTTGAGCAATACTTCTCTGGACCATCGGGCTTGTCAAAAGCCCTGCAGACCAGTGAGCAAAACAAAGTGCCCATACAATCAACTGTGGCCTTGCCCACCCTGATCATCCCAGCAGAGTGGAATTTAGAACAGTATTTTTCAAACTCCTACTGCAAGTCAGTTAAATTGGTTATGAAAGACTTAAAAACATTGCAAGCCCTGGTTTGGAAGTACCTGGATGAAATTTCTGACCTGCGCATTTGGTAATAAATCCCAGTGAAGAGGATAGGACCTGGTCAATGCAGCTGCTAACCAGCGGAGAAGCTGTAGGGTGCAGTATGATGAGTGAGTAAATTCAGAGAACAAGTATCAGAAGACTGAGCAAGGCCTCAGCTCTAGGTGGGGGCTATGAGCAAAGCAAAGTTAGCAGGGAAAAAGGGAAGAAGACCACACAAAAGAAGAAGCTCATCTGTGAAGAGATCATGAGGACTTACTCTTTAAGAGACCCTCACCCGCAGCCTTGCGGGGGGGGGGGGGGGGGGGGCTCTGCAGGGAAAGTAGGTACAGGCACAAGCTACTGCATAGGGCAGACCATGAGAAATGCAGAGGTAAGAAACATGAAGTAAAGGGCCAGAAGGAACAAGAGACAGCATCTCAGTACCTGTACCATTTAAGCAAAGACAGATTAGGCTTACGCCAGAGAGAGAAAGAAAGGGAGAGGGAGGGAGAGGGAGAGGGAGGAGGGGCAGGGAGAGGGGGAGGGGGAGGGAGAGGGGGAAGGGGAGGGGGGAGGGGGGAGGGGGAGGGAGGGAGAGAGGGAGAGGGAGAGGGAGAGAGGGAGAGGGAGGAGAGGGAGGTCTTCTGACAAGACTAGCAGTAGCCAAGGGGCACACAGTGCTGGTGGGGATGGCACCCCATGTTGTTTCTTCGATTAGTTTATGCTAGCCCAAGTCTCTCCTTCACAGGATGGCTTATTTCAGACATAGATCCTGGTCAGTGGGTTAGCAAAAACATTTTAAACAGTTGATACTGAATCAAAATTGTTCTGTCTAGGGGTTGGGGATTTAGCTCAGTGGTAGAGCGCTTGCCTAGCAAGTGCAAGGCCCTGGGTTCGGTCCTCAGCTCTGAAAAAAAAAATTGTTCTGTCTAGCCATGATGGTCTCAACACACAGCTACCCACAGCTGGTAGAACAATCCAAAAGAGAAGAGTAGAGTGTGAACGTGGTTAGACCTTATCTGCACAATGCCTAAGGCTAAGAACCAGAAAATAAAATTCAGAAGGCAATGGAATTTGTATTAAAAAGAGAAAAAGAGACAGAACACATGTATGTGCATGTCATGCATATGTGGGCACACACACACAGCAACAGATAAATTTGTATTAAAAGGGAGAGATCAGACTAGCAGCAATAGAAGCATGTCTCCCAGGAGGAAGAGAAGAGAGATGGCTACCCATTAATACTATCCCTAGAACTAGAGTCACACTAAAAAGACAGCCAAGAATGTCGACAATCTGATCAGACCCCTGCGAGCTTCCTCAATTAGTCCACTGAGAAGAAAGGGCCATCAATCAGGCCTGTGCTCACATCTGGCTCAGCCATCTACAGCAGCAGGATCTGTCTGCTGATAAAGTCCAGGGTTCAAGACCTATGTCTGGAATAGGCTATCCCATGGGGTACTTGGGCTAGCATAAACTAACTTAAGAGACAATATGGGGCGGGTCTGCCAACAGCAAGGCAGTGTGCAGGGAGGAGCTGCAGGGTGGACCATCCCCAGCAGCACTACCTCGCCTTCCCCTCCGTGCCTGTTCCTTTGTCTGTTAAGTGGAAGATTAAACGAGAACAAGCAGGCATGAGACATGTACCCAAAGAAGAGGCCAGCAATGCCAGGCACATGGTTGTCACTGTATTACTATACAATCACTTCCTGCAATATTGCTCTGAAAGGGCTTGTAACAAAGACAAAGGAGACTCAAGCGTGGCATGGCAGGCTGGCTTTACTCCTCGCTGTCTGTAAAAAGCAAGTGTTTGAGAGACAACTGCTGTTCTAGGACATGGAGCTGTGTTGGCATCTGAAGGTTTTCCAGGTGCTCAGCTTTCCAGAAGACTGTGATAGCGACAGTGCCTTGGCCACAGGGCAGGTAGGGAAAGGCTGAACACCTGGGCAAGTCCCTCC